TTTAATTCTCTGATGGTTAAACTGATTCCATCAGGAGCTATAATTTACAGACCCTATATGAAAAATGCATTGTCTTTTCTACCTGCAAATCCACATGCAGATTGAGGAAGCTGCACTTTTCCTTTTGTACTATTTTACGGTTGGGTATTTATTTAAAGGAACCTTTCAAAAACTGGTAGAAATGAAAATCGACGCATAGTAAACAGGAAGGTATTCAATTATATGACGGTATTTGAACTTCTGTTTTGCAAGTTAAAGTCTATGGTTATCTTTTCAAACATGCACCTTCCCAGGATTGCAAACACAAGGCTGAAGTTGTTTGGTTTTACCTTTGTTTACAAACTGACTGCAGCAAATTGCAGTATGTTTGAATAAGTATGTTCATTGTTCTTCATTTAAATAAACACTTGCAGAACAAGGAGTTTCAGTAAGTCGCTAGAGTACAACTGAGTCTTGGTTTATACCATTTGGCCTGAGATTAGTAGTATTTCACAACTACTTAACACTTGATGTTCAAACTGCTTGTGGTGACAGGCAGTCTGAGTGTTGTTTCTAAGTCCTAAAGGGCAACCATCTCTTACATCAAGGTTGTTGGCATAAAAGGTTAAACAGGAAGATTGTTCCGACGTTAGGTAGCCTTGCCACTGACTTTCTTTCAAAACTGAAAAATAGCTTTCACTACAACTCTAGCTAAAGCTTCTTACCTTAATGATTGATGCATACAGTCAACAGTTGCTAAATGATACAGTGAAGGACCATTCAAATGAGTTAGTTGATACATGAGCATGGGCCTGAAATTTATGGCTGACAGAAAATGGACTGACCAGACTCTGAGACAGCCAGGATTTAAGTTCATGATTCATCTGTAATTATCATTGCAAGATGCTGTTAATGTTAGGCAACAGTCTATATACTAGCATTTATTAATAGAGCAGCATGCACATATTATTATTAATCAAACATTAATTAGTTGCACTTAAGAGAATTCCTCTTACCTTTATATGATTTTATTCCTAAACCTCTACTGTAAATGTACTCATACCCACAGATCCTGAAGTGCTATCGGAACATCTGCTAACAGCACACACTTCGAGTCAAGAATTATTTGTCATTAATCCCGTATGTAAAAGTTCTCTATACTAGTTTGTGGTGATACTGAGAGCTACAGTGTTTGAAGCTCCTTGCATAGATATATTGTGCATGCACGCACACACCACAAACAGAGCCACCTAAGATATGTGTACATTTATTTGTGATTATAGCATTACATTAATATGGGCCACTGGATTAGCTGGTGCCATTTATCATTCATTAGAATGCATAAAGGTTTAGCTCTGCAAGACATCATTACAGTAAGTTACTGTACATTTGTAACTAGTTTAGATGATCTCTCTATGCTTTCAAATGTAATGGCTCCTAGAAAAGAGTCCTTGCATGGCCTGTGTCCTTAAATAATCGAGATAAAAATGGAGTGGTGGTGTGGGAAAGGAGGATGTATAACTGACCAAGAAAGGGACTGCAGAATGCCTTGAGGTTAAGTTTCTCTTTTATTGCCTGTGACGTTGTTTACCCCAAGTGCCATCCCACAAGCTCTCCTTATTTGTTAAACAGTATATTATATATTTGAAAGTATGTTATCTGCACAACTCAGCAGAGTTATTTTACACTATCCTAAGGTCAAACTCAACTAAACTAACCCTTCACTAGACTGAGAAAGTTAATCCTTGGTGCTCACTCAACCTTACTTTAAGAATGGAAGTGAAATTACCTCGTTTCTGCCAGGCAAGCAGCAGAGGGTCAGTGTAACTGCGCTATCTTGCTAAATACAGCAGGTCCAAGGACTGTTTTCTAATGCTAGATTAATGCTGTTGAAATAACTGCAGACTGCCTGACCCCTTTGGTCCCCTTGCAATGTGTTATGTACCTAAGTATTTGTGTGTGTGTGTGTGTGTGTGTGTGTTCATTTATTTTCAGGTCAGTGATGTTTTTATAGCATGAAAGTGAAGGTAGGCATTGCATGTCCCTGAGATACCCTGTGTGTGCATGCATGTGTGTTAGGAACTAATTTCCATCACTGTGCCACAAGAATTTGGGCAGCTCAGACCATAAATCAGTTCCTGTTGTATGCACACAATGTATGCATGAGTGCAAAGCTTCTTTAACATTTACTAATGCACATAGTAGCTAACTATGAGTAATAAGGTACTAAGTTAAACATTAATATGCTCATCATCACCTGATTAAATGCCTGATGGGGCTCCACCAGCCAAGTAGCTGTCAATCAAATGGTGAAGTGTTAGTCTCCTTTGCTTCTTAGAATGGGCTGATCCTCTTGTGTCACTGAATGAACGTCATCTGGAGTATCTGATTTTTTTTTCTTATAGTTTTATATATTTTAATGTATTTTTCCTCTTGAATTCTTGAGCTGTTAATGACTCTAGTCTTAAAAATTAGATGACTTCCTTGTGTTTTTACATGTTTTATCTCACATAGCCTTACCCTATGTACTTTCTTACACCTTAATAGTAGTTTTCTCAGTAAAAGTGAGCCATCATGCAGTCCCGTTGCATAGCAGTAGTCCTTGGACCACAGACCCTGAGCCACTGACTGAAGTTTACAAAGATGAGGGTACAAAGTGTGCTGGAATACTGTTGAACAACAGCATATGGTTAAGGGAGCTAAACCTGGTGCAGTCTTATCCCTACAGCAGGAATTGTCCCTGATGTGTGCTTCTCCTCAAACCAGACCAGTGTGTTCTCTGAGAGTGTCAACTGGCACAGCCAAACTGCTGAGGCAGGAGTATGGATGATCAATGGCTATAATGCTGGAGGTTGTCCTTGGCACCATTTTCCTTAGGAGAACAGAAGAGGCTGCCAAGGCAAGGCTTGCTTTGAAAGGGCCAGCCAGAAGCTAGAAGCTTCTGATCTACACTTCTGGCTTCATGAGATCTCCTATGCATTTCTCTGGTTGGTGCATGCCTTCAATCAGCTGGTGATTTCCTTACACTAGAGGAGGAAATCTGATGGAAAGCACCTGAAGGTCAGTGTACTGCAGGCATTTAAGATCTGGAGAAGCCAACTATTTCTCCTGTCAATGGAAGTCTTTATTCTTCAGGATGCAGTACTGAATTGGAATTCCATAGTGCAACATCTGTCCTTTAATCTGTTAAAAAGTGCTTATTTTACAATGAGACTGAGTGATATTTACTGATATTTGGGAAATGCTGATTTGTGTGCAGGTAAACCTGGAATTGGATTATTACTTTGTAACATTCTGATTCTTATTCATGTGCCTGACCATTTTGTTTAGTTGTCCTTTCCCCTTCCTCAGACACCTTACTCTCACATCCTGGAACGTATGTATCCAAGCTATTGATTGTCTCAAAAATCCATTCTTATTACTAGGCAGATCTCAACATTACAGCTAAAGTTGACAAGCAGATGATGGATTGTTCTCATTAAACGCTGATAATTTAAAGAGTGTCCCAAAAATTCAGTGATTTAAATTAGGATTCAAAATTGGAAGAATGGAAGATTGGAAAGATTAAAGCTTTCCATGGCCCAGAACTAGACCCCAGGTAATGGCTAAATCATTAATTCTTCACTAATGTTTATGAAGGGTTTGGGGCTCCTTCCTTTCAACTGCTCTGGTAAAGGAAAATCTCAGATTACTTTATTGTTCTATAAAGTATGTTTTTCGCATAGAGCAGCATAGAATAAACTCCTCCTAGTCAGCTTAAAACTTGCAAGGGCACATCAATCAAGTTCCTTACTGCTGTGTATGAATTACTCTGATTTCTCTTACTACTTGGGTATTTTTGTGTTACATTGGTGTGTCAGAGTAAATAGATTCTAAGTGATTAAAAACACCTTCTTTATTGTGGGTCAGAAAACATAATTATTTTTATTGAAATGAAAAAAAATTATTCTGACAATGAATGTAGTTTTGAGGAATTAATTGGTATTTTCCAAACTGTTTTTCACAATGGAAAATGAGTTACAAGTTGAATCCTCAGGAATCTGCCCAAACAGGCACAATGCCTTGACACACTCTGGTGCTTCCTGGGAGATTAAATCTGGCTGGAGATCCCAGCTCCCTGGGGAGAGCTTCCACATGAGGCACTTAAACTGTAACTCTGATGATGCATGGCAGTGCCAGGAACTGGATCACACTGATGCCAAAGTACCCTGGTTTTGACTGAAAAATGTCAGCATTACATCTGGCATCAGGGTTTTCTTTAATTTTGTTGGGTTTTTTACAGCTGATAACCTGAGGGCTTTGAAAGGGATTCGTAATTTCCAATTCTGCTTTATTCTGTTACTGTGATTTGATACCACTTCCTTGCATAGCGTTGCTGTACTATTCTTGAGGCGTTTTTCTAAACCGCTGCATCTGGACTGCACACAGAGTAAGCTTTAATGAAAGCTTATTTTAGACACAATGCCAAAAGAGGAAAAGAAAAAATGCAATTTTCTCTCAGTCTTTTAAAGGAAATCCACTAACTGGGACTTTTTTGCTTCCTGATTTACTTCTAAGTTTAGACCTCTGTAAATCATTTATAGGCCAGTTCTGTTTCAAAAACCAGACACTCACTGCCACTTGCTAGCTGAAGGGGCAAATAAGGCTACTGATGTGGAACAAGTGAGTGAGCCTGTGTGCTCTGTATGGTATGAGCTAAACGTTTGCAGTGACACATGCCATGGTCCAGGGTAGAAAAAGACCCTATGAATGACCCAGTGCTGTCAAAGCACGTGATGTTTCAGAGAATGGAGGACCATGTGCGCACAGACAACTCTCTGTGCTTGGCGAACACCTGGGTCAAGATGGAGTAGAATCAAGTCACATTCGCAAGCTGGAACTGTTCAAGGGTTTTCAGGTTCAGTCACTGGCTGAAGTTTTCCCCAGTGTGGGTATCAACACATCCTGATATTCTGGCTAATGGAGGGATTGACAGCCCTGTGTTTAGAATCCAGTAAAACCTCACTCTTTATCCTCTGAATACACCTTGTGAAAGATTTGTCTGTGCATCACTGCCTGCCAGGCAAGATGCTGTGATATCCCCTCTTTTTCCCTTGAGCTAAGTTTTCCTCTTAAAAGGACATTAGGGAAGGGGTTTCAGAGCTGTGCTTAAAATGCCACACTTCATAAAAGCATTATGCTGTGATAATCTTTTTCCCAGCACCTTTTTTCAGCTGAATGGTGCATCAGGCTCCTGTCAGAAGGACCCTCTTCATCGCAAGCCATCTGTCCCTCAGCAGGCAGCCCAGCGGTGACAGGGAGGAAATAACAGCTTGCCACCTATTCAGAGGTAGAGTCACCTTGGAGGCTCTGTGCTACCTTTTTCTCCCTTGAAAACACTGTCTCGTGTACATAAGCCTATTACATATTTCCTTCTTTTTTTCCTGAGCAACCAACAAGCTACAATTTGGTTTCACTTACAATGCTGTCAGATATGGAAATACGCTGGATGCAAATCTTAACCTTAAACTGACTTGAATTGAGATGAAACAGTACAAAAGGGGGTCAGCAAGCAAACAGGAAAAGGTACTGTTTTTTTCTCATGACTGTCCCACTATGTATCTATTCAGAGTAGTTATACATTAGTGAATGTTTATTTAGTAAATTAGTAAATTATTAGTAAATTATTCCTTTCTACTTGTGACTTTTATCCAACTTCATCTGAAACATTGACTTCAATCAGGGAAGCTTAAAAATAGAAGTTTAAATCTGCGTTTGAAGCTTGCAGTGTAACAGGAATCCGACCCTTCTGTAGGCACCACGATGCTGAAAGCAAAAATCAAATGAACTGATTGTTTTAAAAAAGGGAAGCACTATTTTTAATTATCTTTCTGGGCTCCAAATTATCCTGGCTTATGGACCCACTATTTCCTACTATTTCTTACATCTCTTTTACAGCCTATCATATAAGGAAGCAGTTTCCCCAATTTTCCAGTTCCTCTGACAATTCCCTCCTTTAACTTACTCTCTGAACTGGAATACTTTAATGAGCTGACATGGGATAACCGTTCACCTTTAAAGAGGCTATGGCTGTAAAAAGCTGATTTAACTTTTCCAAGTGTTTACCTACAAAGGTTAGAAATGGCAATTTCTAGTACTTTACTGGTTGGTAATTCACTGAAGGTCTACACTACCTCAAATATTATATTTAACTGTTAGAAAATACAATGGGTAATACATAAAGTAGCAAATGATTTTTGAAATTATGCTGTTACATTTATCTGAAGTAAATTACTTTCCTTCAATTAAAATCAATGGTACTATTAAATATTTCTGTATTTAAACTAAATGCTTCCTTAACAAAGCTTTCTTCAGAAACAGATCCTACCTTGCACACTGCGTATCAACACTGTACCTTTACATGTGCACTGTCTCCCAGAAACTTCATTCGTTTCATCCCAGAGGCATCCACCTTTGAAAAAGTGGGAAAACATCTTTCCCATGAGAAGGAATTAGTTTAAGAGCAAGCCAAAACTATCAACCAGAAGCCTACCACTCTGTCTACTCTGTTTACAGTTAGTCCACATGGAGATCAAGGTATACAGACACCACCTGAGAGATGCTGAAGCTTTTATTCTCTATTTAGATGAACGTTAGCACAGCAGTAGTAATACTAAGGGATTAGCATTATATAATGAAGTAGCATTTTGCAGTGCAACAGTATCATAGCCTCCTTGGTGAATGATTGCTATGGTTACTCGGAATGGAATGTGCTGTCTGTAAACTGCAGAGGTTATGACAATAAAGCAGGAAGTCATAGGAATTAGTGGGCTCTTCATTATTACCATTGTAATGGCTCCCCAGTGGGCAATGTGCACTGGGAAGAATCTCAAACACTCTGAAAAGTAGTTAATATGAACACACTGCTACCTTTCTCCCAAGGTTAATAATTCATCTATGTACATGCGAAGTACCAGAAGGCCCTAATCTATGCTAAACTAAGCAATTTCACTTTATATCTTCTTTTCTTTCTAGAAAAACCTCTTGATTAAAGCATACTGGCTAACCCGCTGTCTGTATTATTTTCTCACTTCAGACACTACAGTGAGGAAAGGAAGAAGAAAAAACCCTGGAGGACCTTCTTGGAGGAGAAAATTACAGTCAGAAAAGTAAGTTTCTGGAAAAAAAAACCCAGAAAGAACCAATTTTCTTTGCCACCACCTGACCAGACAACTTGCTGCTCGCAAGGATAGCGTAGGACCTCTGAGCTCTTCTGCAAGCTTAACGTTGCAGCTTCTCTTTAACTAAGGGGAAGTCAATAGAGGTCACAGATGTGCTAAGAAAACTCACTTGCAGAAATTCAGCAAATTATCTAATGTCATCCCTTTGGGGATTTTAGTCTCACTGTCCCTGATAGCTGCAGAACACGAGACAATGAGCGTGCTCACAATAAATGGAACAATTCAATACACTCAACTTTAACCACTCAAAAGATCCTGACTTGTCTCCTTCCCCCTATATTCCCTGCATACTGCAAGTTAATGAAACTATTTGTTGGTTTTTAATGCAGTGATTTCCTCTCCCCCCAGCCCTCAAGATAAATGGTGCATCCCTGTATTTGTTTTCACAGCAATGTGGTTCCAAAATGTTCTCAGTGCATTGATCTGGAAGCCTTTTTTTTATTGAGTAATGCCAGTGGAGATCCTCCCAAGCATGTCAAATGCCATAAATTTCAAGAGACACAGAAAAATCCGAGTCTTTGCCATATCACTCCTGGAGTGACTTCTATGTATCTATCCCCTACAGTATCCTGACACAACATAGGATTTGCCTCACTTTCATTTTCCCTTTGAAGTTACAAACATTAGGTGGAATGATTCATATGCTGAATTATGTTTGTTTTTTCCTATGTGTGTTTGTGAGGTGAAATCAAAGCAGGAGCAGCCATGTCTCGAGACAGCAGGATGTCAGGGCTCAGTCTCTTTGCCACTTGCCGTTCAGACTTAGGGAGGACTTTGCAAGAAAGAAGCTACTTTTACCAAGAAGTTTTAAAACAGGAGGAAGATTTAGCCAGCTGAGCTCAGAGTGGCATGATAACAACAGAGCTGCTGGTGGTTATTAAGGGATTTATAACAAGGTTAAGTAGCAGTACTACAGGTGTTTAGCAGAAATTTCTGTTTCTCCCTGACCTGTTAGGTTTCCCTTGTCCCAGCAGCAAACAGGCAGTAGGCAGAGAATTCTGTCATTGCAAAAAGATCCCACAAGGCAGGAAAAAGATTCAGGATGAACCAGGGAAAAAGAACAACCTCACTCTATGAAAACTATAACTCCCCCAATAATAATATAGGAGGGCCACAAAGATGATCAGGGCTGGAGCACCTCTCCTATGAAGACAGGCTGAGAGAGCTGGGCTTGTTCAGCCTGGAGAAGAGAAGGCTCCGGGTAGACCTTATTGTGGTCTTGGAGTACCTACAGGGGGCTTACAAGAAATCTGGCCCATAGGGACAGGACAAGGGGGAATGGCTTTAAGCTGACAGAGGGGAGATTTAAATGACCTGTTAGGAAAAAAAATCTTCACTATAAGGCTAGCGAGGCACTGGCACAGGTTGCCTGGAGAAGTTATGGATGCTCCATCCCTGGAACTGTTCAAGGCCAGGTTGGATTAGGCCAAAGCAACCTTCTCTAGTGGAATGTGTCCTGCCCATGGGACTTCGCTCACGCAGTTTGGAACCAGATGATCTTTAAGGTCCTTTCCAAATGAAACCATTCCATGACTCTATGGTACATTTTTATCAGGCTCTTACTTGTTATACTTTGCTAGTACTGATTTCAAATATATAAAAAATGGAGTAGTTTCTACTTTTTTAAGAAACTGAGTTTTAAAGCCATTACATTTTATTTTAAAGCAATCCAAAAGGAACAATTCCTTTTCAAAGCTAAAGCAGGTTGGGCTGTATACTCAGACCCCACATTTCTTAGAGCTAGAGCATAGTAGATCAACTAGTAAAAAACAGAGAAGAAAGCTGTCTGTTGTTAAGAACCAAAAGATGTGATCTGGAGTCTCCTATAAATCATCAGGACAGATACTTCATTAACACTGAAGTTATGAATTATAATAGAATGCACTAATAGTATAATAAAACCCCACACAGCGAATGGCCTCTTTCAATCCCGATAAGCAGAGGGATTCAGCTTTTATAAGCAGGTGTCAGCATCTCTATAAAACATTTTGGCCGTATCTCACAAGGAAGCAGTCACCATTCGCTGACACACTCAATTATTCAAGATGTCTTTCTCAGAAATTCATGTCTGAGTTACCTTTACCAAAGTCCTGAAATCATAAATAAGCCACAGAAACAGAAATGTTGTAAATGGGCCTTAAACTGGTTTTCTTCAAAAATCAGTCTTTTCTTCTCAGAAGTATACTGCAGTTTATAAAGGTAATAAATGCAGGCTCAGGGCCTGACTTAAATCTGCCATATTCTTTCTTTTTTTATTACTAAACCCTAAAATGCAGTAACTTTTCTAAGTAGGTGTTGTTACTTGTCTTCATATCACTCATCACAGCTGCACTCATTCTGCAGTATAATCGGAGCTACACACAACTTTTATGCCTGAGTTGGAAATCAGGGTCAATCACCTCTGTTCAGGTTCTGTTACAAACTCAAAACTGAAGGCACTTTACAATCTGTTGAGCAGAGCTGCAACTGAGCACTCCAACACCTCCTTTAATCTCTAAAGACATTTTATGGCTTAAAGACCTCTCTCTGCTCCTTCCTTGCTGCAGGTCTCTTCTGAAGGAGCAAGCTATTCCTTTCTCATTTCAGGGACTTCTCTATTGCTAGTAGTTTCTATTCAAGTGTTCCTGCTTTCAACAAGCTCATCTCTCTTCCCGTCCTTAATTTTTGATCAAATGTTGGGAAAGGCAGAGCATTGTGGTTCTTTTTCAGATTTTATAACAATGTGATACTGGTTGATATGTCTTTAAAAGCATTAAATGCAATGCTCCATGAAATGATTCCTAAGAGACTGAAAGTATGAGGAGAAGAGGCAGCCATGCAACCTCCTGCGGAAACTCTATGGAGGTCTTCAGCAGAGATCCTCAGTCTCCAATAGAACGTGTCTGCAGTAGTTGAGATGATTACCTTCTATGTTAAAAAGTGTCACAGTTCAGTTTGAAAAAGCCTTCTGTGGAGCCCACCGAAGCAAAGCTGCTGCTCAACTCAGTGGGAGACACGTGGCAAGACCAGGCTGTCCGCTAGTGTTTAAAGCTCAGTAGTGAAGGAGGGGGCTTTCTTCAGACAGAGTAGAAAGTTGTAAATGGAAAAGTGGCATGCATTTCCAAGAAGTGTGATATTGCTGAATGCAGGAAAAGACCCGTAACAATGAGATTTATTGTGCTGTGGAGCACTCTCTTGGGGCAAAATGTGAAAGCCCCCATCTTTTAGCACAATTTGAAGCATGGTGAACAAAAGAAGATACATTGCATGGAAAAAGTCCCCCTCTGACAGGAAGATGAAACAGATGGATTGACAGATCTTTACAACTGCAAATCTATGATACTATGGCTTGGAGGTCCCAGTTGTTTAATTAGTTCCATTAGTTTCAGCTGAACTGTTATGATGTGGTAGTTATTGTGCAAAGTAAAATCAATAGATGTGTGTCTGTACTGTACTGTAGGCTACACTACATACACTGTGAGATGGAGGAGGAATTCACTAGCAATGCGAAATTGTCATGCAACAAAAAGGAAGGGGTGGGAACTGTTAAAATTTACAAAGTAGGCAAATATCTCCTGCACAGCACATTGAAACTGGAGAACATAAAACCTTGCAGTTATGTTCTCCAGTATCACTAAACTCTCCTTGGAGAGAAAGTACAGTTACAGTGTAGTGGATATTGTAAATAGGACACCAATTGCTGACCACCAGTTTCCAGCAAGGAAAATGAGGCAAGTGTAGAAACTGCTGTGATTTTAATATAGAATAAACTACTATATAGTATTTCTGATGTATATGTAAATTAATGTATAGTGGTTGAGCAAGTTTATTGGTACGGCTATTGCAGTGCAGTAATCTAATGTGCAAATGTCTCTGTTCAGTCCCTGTTTTAATTTCCAGTGGAGAACTTATGGCGGACTTAAATGATCGTATGTCATTGTACTTAAACCTTTCTGAAATCATGAGCTCCTGTTCAGTTTCCAGCTCTCTCTCCTTTTCTGCGAGCTTCAGCTCAGGCCAGTGAAGACAGCACTGTTTTCTACCTGGATAATGAAGGCAGGCACAAGCTGTCTCTTTCAGATTACAAGTGGAAGACTGCCATCAGTAGAAGCTCCTTTCCTCACACGTCTCCCTCCTTCCCTTTTTTCCCCTTTTCAGTCATATGCAAAACCCCAAGCAATCTCAAGCAATGGGAACACAAGCCTTTTTGACTGACACTGCTCAATTAGTAGGGCTTTGCATCAGGAAAGGTGACAGCTACTGGCAACAGTCTCCATGTCTGCTCAGTACCTGGCTTCTTAGTTGGGATAGCTAGTAGAGGGGTGGCACAGATTTAATGCTGTGAATACCTCAACACCGTGATAATAGACTGTATCAACAAAAAGCTAAAGCAACATAGGATAGTACGTATTTACAGGATTACTGTCAAATAAAGGTACACTTTATTTACTGGAAAAAAACCCAACCTAATGCTGTCCTTGGGAAATACAGAGTTTACTCCTATAGATTTGGAGAGTTCTTTAATATTCTAGACTACCTATTTCATTGCATATACAATAGTTCTGTTCTTTACGAGTCCTGACAGGACAGCTGCATTTTGCTACTTCCAGAGAAAGGAAAAGAAACAGAAATCAGAGTATATCTCTGGGTTGGGCTGAAAGCTGGTTGCTAGTCTTGTGGAATTACTGGTTAGCCTGTGCTTGGTCTGCTGGTAAAGTCAGTTTAATGGCTCCTGCAGGGTGATGAGCTTCCAGGACTTATTGCTTGAAAAACACATCGAATGCTTGCATTACATAACATCAGAATATTGTATTATAGTGATCGCTCTCAGGCTTCATTACATCATTTAGACCCAATAGCATTGTCTGAGTGTGGCTCGTATGAACTGCAGGTCATAGATTCTTATTGTGCTATGTAATTTGTTTATTGATGCTTGTGTTTAAAAACGTGATATAGATAAATAATGGAGTAATTAACATGAAAAACAAGAGAATAAGGTTTCCTTAGATTATGAATCCTGCTCCTTTTTCTCTTAGAGAACACTTACATAATTTACCCACCCATAAAACAAGATAATGATTGTAATGTGCTTTCAATTTATAAAGTCTTTCTTTAAAAATCTGGAATTTTCAGCCTTGCATTCGGAACGCATTTAACCTGCCAGGAGAATTCAAAGTATTAAAGGATACAGATTTTTAATGAAGGTAAGTTATTTTTTCATATAACTTAATTGCCCAGATCATTCTGATGTTTCCAAGGCAATATTTGAGCAGCTGTGAAAAAAAATTTGCATGTCCACAGAGTGCAATATTGTACACAGTACAGGCATCTGCAGGGAAAGCCAGCCTGGCTGAATGTGCTTACAGCTCTGCTCAGTTAAATAAGGTGTGTATCTATTCGGCAAAAATGTGCTGTTCCGCCAACAGCTTTCCAAGATGGATGAGTATGTAAAGAGATGACCTGCTTGCATATCTTTGGGCTTTATGCCAAAGAGATTTGGGTGTTACAAACCATCTAATATCTTTTACAATGCTTGGAAGATTAGAATGGCATCCAATTTGAGCAGTTGTTTGGAGAAAGATGCCAGATTTTGTCTCAGTGACATAAAATACCTTAGCATGAAGCAAGAACAGTAATAAAACTGTAAGAGAAAGAGATAAACTGAGACCTACATCAACAAAGAAAATGACATCTCTCTCTATTTACTTGCAGGTGCTGCGTTTGACAACTTCTAGCCTCTGGAAGATGCTCTTCTTAAGGAAGTCTTTTCCTAAACTTAATAAGGTAAGTGGCATATTCTGTTCTCGATACACATATTTAACTTCACCAGTATGTCAAGCAGAAGCCAGATGTCTTTAATAAGAGACAGTGGAGAAATATAAAATGAATCACAGCTTTAGACTCTTAAATCTGCTTCTAACAGGCTGTCCTACAAAGGAAGGTGCCCTAGATCGAGCTGCTGAACAGTTTCAAGAATGCAGGCTTTTTGGCCAATTCTATTTAGCTGAGGTCATGGACATGCATCCTCCCTCAGCCACAGATGCGTTTGCGGAAAAAGCAGCCATGAGCCCTCTTTGCATAAAGAGCTTAGCCCCATTTCTTTCCTTGTTACCACCACAGCAGATCTAGCAGCTTATGTGAGCACTCTAACACATTCCAGTCAATATGAGCTGCATTAGTTTAAACAGTTAAATGAGGAAGTTTTGCTAATATTGGCTGATTTCCACTCATAAGCCTAGAGGGGAAGGGGGGAAGGAAATCCCCCCCTTTTCCAGAACTGTACCTCCACGGTAGGTTGTATTGATTCCCAACAAGGAGCCACTCCTATAATCCCACTGTAAATAGCAATATTCCTAGTGTATTCTACATAACAAGAATGAAGTACTATCCACATGCAGCAGTCATCCCTAGGTTTTCCTGTACTCTTCCCTTCTGCACTGGTTCTTACAGTATGGGTTGCAAGGCTTTTGAGGATTGCAAAAAAAACAAATCTGGAGCCAAATGGTGGGAGAAAATAAAGCCAAAAGAGGTGAAATAACCAAAGTGGCACAAGAGATACAGGTAAAGTAGTTCTAAGAATCAAATACCCAGAATCACAACTCAAGTGTCTTAGCTATTCTTTGTCACAGTGTTTTTTAATTTCCCTGAGAGGAGATACCCCTTTCCTAGCTAACTTCTATAGAGTAAATAAATGTCATTTCCATTTGCATCAAATAAAACCAGACTATCCCAAAGAAACATAAATGATTTGACTAGAACCTGTGTCAAGGGCAGTTACAGTAGGAAAGTAGGCTTTTCATCTCTTTGTAGCATTAGTTTTGGTGACTCCAAATTTCCAGGCTCCTGTAATTATGATTTCCCCTGAATACTTCTGAGAAACAGTCATCAGAAAGAACAGTAATTATTCTGGACTACTAAGTTTATCTTACTCTTGTAGCTGAAACAGTTGTCTTATATCCACTTGCAGTATTTCCAACCTTGCTCCATTTATATTACCTTCTGGTTTATATATTTCTGACCATATTTTCTACGATTACTAAATGCCAGTGCAATTTATGAATCTGGAAACCCATTCTTTTGATTTAATCACAGAATCATGGAACAGTTAGGGTTGGAAAGGACGTTAAAAGTCACCCAGTTCCAAGCCCCTTCCCATGGGCAGGGACTCCTAACGCTCAGCCATGTTACCCAAGGCTCTGTCCACCCTGGCCCTGAACACCGCCAGGGATGGAGCATATTATTTATTAATATCACATCTTTGGGCTCTGCTAGTTCCTTAATATTACTTCCTTTTTGAAAGTATAAGTAAATATTTCTGAAGTACCATAAATACTTAATTTCTGTTGTTCTTTCAGTATCATACATTTTAATGGTCATTGATTTTGATGACAAGAAATATTTTCCAAAAAGTGCTTTTTTTTATTTACCTTTTTCACTTTTAGATAAAGCAAAGTGAAATGACAACAAAATGGTGTATGTGAAACTGAAATTTCAGTGTCAGTGTCAGTCTATGCTAAGTTAATTCATTTTCTTTCGGAACATTATTTTGAACAATAACATGCCATTAAATATCTGACTCATCAAAAATAGAGAATGAAAATAATGGCATTACCTTTACAAATATGTGGTCTTGACACTTCACAGATTGTATCTGCAAAGATACTTGGGTTGTGATGCATGTAGCATGTTCTAGACAGAGCATAATTGAATGTATTTCCGTCTAATTCCCCTACATAGCTTCAACAGTGAAAACAAAAATGAAGACATGGTGATTTTGCTATACATTTGCTAGTAAATTTCGTGAAGAACAGAAGCTCTACCTTTTGTCTTTAAGGAAGTAGAGTGAGAGATTTGTTTGCAGAAAGAGGACTAGAAAGCCAGAAAATAGGAATAGCATAGCAAAAAGAATGACTGGAAGTGTGTCAAAGAAAAAATAATACAGAACTATCATCTAAAGCTACATAAAAAATAGCATGCCACATTAATTATACTGGAAGTAGCAACAGAAATATTATTTCTGTGCAATATGACATGCAGAAAACGGGTTTTTAGAATGGTTAGTGAGCACTGAATACTCAGTGACTCTGAAACTCGCTGGTCAGAATGTCAGCCAATCAGTTCAGTGTGCAAAACAGATGGATCAAGCAATTGATCAAGGTGGGAACTGAACTCTGCATCCTAAATCCTACGTGCTTTATGAACACAACTACCTTGTATAAAGGTGTGTGATACCATGACCAAAATGCTTTCAGTACTTATCCAGTCTTGCACATCTGTATTCTATGCTGCAATTAAAAAGATAGATCATCCTTCTGACTCATCCAAACAGGGTATTTTTATTATCCAGAACTCTGTGAGTTCCAGTCCTTTTTTTTTTAAGACTTTGGAAATGGAAATAAAGGAATTGCACTCATTAACCAATCATGAGTTTATAAATGAAATTTCTGCCATTTAGAGTTATGCGAAAAACAAAACGCAGAGGAAGTTAAGAATTCCATCTTGTTTTGGCAAACACATTACTACATGCTTATATGCATTTTTTCATTATTATGTAGTGTAACAAAGGAACTACTGGAAAAGTCTACTGTGCTTACAGTTTCAGTATGTTTTTTATCTAACTTTGAAGTTTCATAAAGCTTGAGCTATAAATTATAAAGAGCTGGTAAATGATTCAGAGTAGTTCACGTAATTATTGCTCATGTATCATTGAATAGTCAGTAACATGCAACATTAGTTTGAGTACTGTTACGTCTCATAATTGGCTAATCCCTTGTAGTCTTCTTTAAATAAGTTACGTGTATTTATAAGTTCCATCAGCTAATAATTAACACCCTATGGAAATTTGGACCACATTTTGTATTCAGGTTTCATTTCCCATTAAATTTCATTTCTTATTTCTCATGTAGAAAATTTAACTGTCTACATAGTGAGACATTGCAATATATATTCCTCTTCCAACAAGCACAACACCTTTCATTACAGGAAGCTAAGCATACAGTCTCTGTGCCAAAAATTAATAGGTCCTTCTGTTCTATTTCATTGAGAAGTTATTTTACCTCCAAGTGCATGGGAACCTTTGTGTGTTTGCACAGAGTATAAGAAAAGAAGCAAAAAGAAACAGAACTTGTATCTGGGCAAAATTTCTTTCATCCATCAGAGATGCTTGAATGTCTCTTCAGCATTTACCTTTAACCAGCACAGATTGGAAATGTTAGCACTTAAGTTAACAGATGGTGTCAATAATGACTGATACCCACTGGAGTTCTATAAACACAGGCGTTTTCATAGCCAGTCAAACAGCCCATATTGTAATCAAATGATATGCTACATATTGGAATACAAAGTGTGAAGATGACCAAGGTGCTTCAGAGTGCCTAAAATTGGTCTCTTCATTGCATACTTTCTAATGTACCTTGTTTTACAGAAGTGCTGAGGTGAAGCTGATAGAGATTGGTTTCAGTGCTTACAATAATCACCTAACAGAAAGACAATGTACTAACTGGCAAACTTCTCTGAATATTTCTAAGCCTTTGAAGACTATCATTCCAAACCCAACGTCATGTCCAAGCTGATGGACTAGTGCGTAAGTAGAAATTAAGCATTATATTCACTGTTTACATAATCATACTTCTAATAAACAGGAGGGTACTTAAATAGCATTGATTCTATTTGGCCCGTTCTCTTTAGTGCTCATTAGCCGCAGAGCCTAGATGCCAGATTTCTGTAGAGAAATCAAGCAGCCTCTTTTCATGGAAACCTTTTAAGACCATGCAGTGAGTGAATCCATAGGAAGCCATCTGAGATGATAGTAACACGGAATTTAGTTCATGGATGTCACCGAAAAAGTGTTATTTAACGAGGCAGTAGTTATTGAAACTGAACTTAATGCAGTCATTTGAAACTAGTTTAGGAAGGGCAACTGCTGAGTGGAACTAACTTAATTCATCTACAAGAATGTTTTTAGATGTATTATCTCATGTCCTGATATCTTGATGGTTATGACAGATCCTGATGGCTAAATAAGATCTCCTCTCCTATCACAATTTCATAGAAATGCTTTTTGCTATTTTGATATAATTAAGATGATGATTGCATAAACGCCTATGAACAGCTTATGCTCAGTGATTTCCATTATTAACACAATTCGGTAACTGCCTAGATTCCCAGCACCGCAACCAGGCTTGCTGCTTACTATTTCAGAAAACTGACCTGTGCCAATAGACAGACTCTTTGTGCATTGCAAGATTATGGTATCCTAAAACAGGATATAGGACAGCCGCTACATGTATGTGCATATGCATCTGTTGAAGCTGTACCACTATCAGGGATGTAACTGAGTTTAGATTTTCATGCAGGAGTAATAGAGTAGGATATATCTTATTGGCACAGTTGAAAATGGAGACAGATACTTGCTTACTGATACCTGATTTCTTAATGTTGACTGCATTCTATTTAGTAAGTGCACAGACCAAGAACCTATGGACTAAATCCTGGCTTTGTGGAAATGTGAGAACCTGTGTAAAATGAAATACTACAAAACCAGAACTTAAGTCTTATTTCCCATTGTAAAAAATCATAAATGACTTCACTAGAGATCAGACAATAGGGTTTTCCAGACACTCAGATCAATTTACTTCCACAGTGAACACATGAAGTAGAAGAGCTGAATTTGACACTGAGTGCTTTTATTCATATATTTAAATTAATATTGTCTCTATTTTGAACAGGCTCAGTGATTATGTCTGCTGATTGCCAAAATAATCTCATTTATATTAGAAAATAAGCATTGCCTGAAGCAGTACTTATGTCTAAAGATATTTTTGCACAAAGCTGCAACACTGTGCTCCTGTCCTTTCCCTAATAATGGTAAAAATTTCATTTATTAATAATTGTAATACAGAAATGGAATTAGAGAATGACCATTCCCTTCCCTTTTTTCTTCTCTACTTATTGGTAGTATGTATTTTTTATATCAATATATATTGGTAGTATATATCAGTTTTATATATATATAGTTTTTATATTAGTTTTTATATAAAATTGGATCTCCTTTGTTAGAGTAATGAGGAATTAAACAGGAGAAATTATGACATGTCAGTAAGTATTCTCTGCCTTATCACTCCTCCAGATATTTAAATACTGTGTTTTCCTGAGGATCTCAAATGCTTCTCAACAGCATTCAGAAACTTTGCTTACTCTTTTCTCACACATTCCTCCATCTTTTGTGGAGGGATGGAACGCTGGGAAAGGAGGCTTGGTTGTATTTATTCACTCGTGGCTGCATTGCAAGTCAAGCTCTGCCTCAAGAACATAAAATCTCAGTATTCAGTAAAAATTCCCTGCAGCTAATGAGTCAAATGACTGTCAGCTGGGCTTTTTAATACATTGGTAACACCATCTTCTCCTTTCTATTTGAAGCAAACCGTGTGGATTGCATCCACAGATTGTGACAGTTTGCCACTGGACAGTAGCTGCAGTGCTGACTGAAGAACCTAGATGGCAGAATAAATACTGATAACCTAACGGAGTGGTAGGATATGAAGCTGAACACAGGCTTGCTCATTTAAATTTCTTCTTAAATTCAGCTTTATAATTTCCCTTCATAATATAGCAAAAGGCAGACATTTTCTAGATCTGACGCATTTTCAGTACACCCATACACAGTGGGTACAGCTGATTGCTTTGGCCACTGTTTTTCCTCTGTTTTCTTCTGAGGCATAAGTAAGAGAATTCAAAACATATACAATTCCCACTGGTACGTGTCTAGTATTGTCACTGAATCACAGAATATTGTTAGGTATTTCTTAATATGTCATCTGGTATTACAAAACACTCAAAACTTACGTATGCGTTCTGCTTTTCTACTCCAGCTAAATCAATTATGCAAAAATACCCAGCAAAACCCCTTAGTAAGTTCTCATGGATGATGGATGTCACCTAAAAGTCAATATTTAACAAAACTTACATTTGGTTTAGTATATATTAGGAAATTTAAGGCTATATTATGCAGATCTCTTCAAGAATTGAACAATCTTTGAGGAATAAGTAGAATTATCATTTTTCCAGTTAAAATGATGAGTAGACCCACACAGACCCAACTAAAGGACAAAGCCAAAGAAAATATACGTGGAGTTCCTGAATGCATGTATTAGTACATACACAAACTGCAACTATGGTACATTGATCCACCGTACTATAGAGGCTGACAAGGAATTTGGGTAACAGAGCTCTGGGTTTCAGAAGTTTGGATAAATTTAGACATCAGTACAAACTGCTTCTGGCTCAGAGTGGAATCAGTGAGGAAGAACTTCCACACTGGGATGCTTGTTTCTATTAGTAGCAAGAGGTGTACAGGCCAATGAAAATTATAACCACAAGGTTTGTATTCCCCTAAAACTAATAAAGAGAATTAAGTATTAATTGTGGAAAAATTTCATTGTATTTTACATGCTTCTGACAGAGTTGGATCCATTCTAAGTGGTTTTCCTCTTCCCACTGCTTTCAAGCAAAAGGTTGGCCTGGAATGAATTCATCCATATGAGCAAAATCTTTCTACCCACTACTTTTTTTCCTCTCAACTTTCTTGTCTCTGGCCCTGTCAAAACCTGCCCTGGCAGCAGTACTGGTATAAAGAGTATTAAGCATGCTGCACTTCTCTGCTTGCTTGTTTTTGACTGTTCCCTGCCTGTCACCTTCACCACTGTGACTGATGGTGTAATTTGTGGTTGTACTCGCACACTGCCACTTCCCTCCTCCCATATCTTTCCTGGTTAACATTTGGGTTTATATATGCCATTGCAAATGAGTTCACTGTGGTTATTAGAATACAGCTAACTTGATGCATAGTAAATAGTTGTTATAGTTTTGTTTTAATACCAGAGTTTGCCTTCTTTTGTTCCTTTTTTCCTCCAAACATTTCACTGTGCAGAGTGTACTCTCCTCAGTCCAGAATCTTGAAGCACAATATTTTCATGCTTCATCAGAATTTCCAGAGTTTTATTCTGAACCTTTTTATTTAGATAGTTCTTTTTTCTGTCAGCAATCACTGGAATAGAAGGGTACTCAGGGGAAAGGGAGGTACATATCACTACAAAGTCAGTGTATTTTCCAAGATCGCTTATTCTGGGGTTATGACTGTCTCTAAATAGACTTGTCTAACCTCGCAGTCTGCCAGTCATTCAAAAGACAAGACATACATCCAGTCTTCATTTAGTCCCTAGGAGAAACCAGACAAGACATCCTAACAAAATAAAGGTAGGAAATGTCTCTCTGTTCTGCCACTTAAGCCTGAAAAGCGTAAAAAAAATCTATAGCTTTCAATTGTTTTACTTCTTTTTGTGCAGATGTGGGATTTCTGCAATAAGACAGATGCCTCCAGTTTTCCCAAAATGCTGTTGGTGAAAGTTATCCTTGGTGAAAGCCCAGCAATAAATGGAGACACATCTTGAATTAATGTGACTCAACATTCCTGGAAAAAGTTAGGAGAGTCCCATAATGAGATCATATTGTTTCTGCAACTAAGGAATCGTAAGAGGATAGCTGAATTGCACAGCTTAAATTTCATCATTAAATAGAAAAGAGTGGCTTTACCAAAAGCTAACATGAAGTCACTTTTTGTTTATCTTCTGTTCTGATTGGTTAAAACACTGACATTGGTTAAGCCATGACAACTGACTACAGCAGGGACAGGGATTTTATTGTGCCCAGTCTACACAGTAGATGACTAACACAGCCAAACCAGACACAAGGCCAAGATGCTCCATAGCTTCCTGCTGCAGCAAACCCAAGAGATCTCAGTACTCGCTGTGGGCGTTTTAGCCCTTGGCAAATTAGGACCTTGTGTTGCATGTGTATAGATGCAAAGCACCCCTTTCCTTCTTCAGACACAGTTCATTAAGTAAAAAAGTGTCTACTATTAAATAACAACTTACAAAAATGCAATTTAAACATATTTGTAACTGTTCTCTCATGGCAGAAAAAGCGTATCAGTCCCCAGGAGCCAAGAAGTCCATCTGAGGATCTAAATTACTTCCTATTAGCTGTATGGAAGATCTCCATCTTGCCAACTGCCTGAACTGAGAAAGACTGAAATAAGGTGGATGAAGGTGTGTGAAAAATTAATTAGCTAAAGGTGAGCAAACTGAGGGGAAAAGATAAGGTTAGCCTGAAAAGCTTGCCTCTAAGTGGTCACCATTACAGGAACCAGTATCAAGCACAGCAGAGCATATTCCTGTCACCATTTTCTGTGCACTGAGCAAGCAATACTTTTCTTCAAGTGATCTCTGTATGGGCTTCCAGTTGTTGGAGGACACTGGGAAGTTATTGCTTCACTCCTGTTTGTCTGGGGCTGCTTTATGCTTCAGTCTTGCTGGAGAGTCTCACAGCCTCGCTCTATAAAACAGCTTTCCTGTCTGGTTTTCTAGGGGAGGCATGGGTGTCTTCTCCTTATTGTCTTCCTGTCTGTATCTGTCCTCTTAAAGGTTTCTCTCAGTGTAAAGCATATCAGTAGGTGCCATATTATTGCTATGTAATTCATTTCTGGCCCGTATTTATGAATCCATGCTTTCTCACTAGAAAATACATTACAAAATCACTGAGCTAGCAAAAAAGCCAGCACCTCAAAAGAGGTAGGAGAGAAATAAACAAAGTAACCTGTTTGTTAAAAAGAATAAATAAAGAGTATGCTTTCAAATAGTATGCTAGGAATCAAAGGCTGTGGACTGTCATCTGGATGTGGTGCTGCTCAGCTATGGGCTCATTTACATGCAATCTTTTGTGTACCAGTCAAACCCATCCAACTGCCTACTGGCAGTTCAGAGCACCATCACCTATATACTAGTACAGGTTGTAGCTTCCTAGTAAAGCCTCGTATGGATGTGACGAAAACCAAACTTATAAAAGTGGTTTTCCTTCACCTGATGGAAAGATGACTGAAGGAATTAGATGATTTATGGGTATGATCTGCAGTAACACTCAGTTATCCTACAGCTTTGCCATTTATAACCCTGCACGGCTGGCTG